CAATTACCCAGTACGATCAGCTTTTTTTTTTTTTTTTTTTTTTTTGTTTTTTCCCGAGCCAGCTACCACTCCGTACTGAGACTCAGAGCGGTCGTTTGGAAAAGAACTCACCCCAGGACACATAAACACCACGCAACAATGTTGAAGTCAGGCCTGATCTTGACGTTGGCTGCCGTGGCTTCGGCTCGTCACTGCCAGAACATTACAGTTCCAGTATCAATCAGCTCGCGCAATGGTGTTTTCGACCTGGCGCCCCCTTCAACCAACATCGAGGTCACCAACTTGTTCTTGAGAACAGCCTGGCCTGGAAACAACGGCACCGCCAGTGTTTTGAAAGGAGTGAGTGCTTCATTCACAAGTGCCAAACGCCGGTCAAGACAACTAACCAGTCATTGCGACATGTCCAGTACAAGACGGTGTCTGGAGAGTATAAGCTTGCCGCTACCTATTGCGAGCCAGATGATGGCCCCGGCCACACCCTCCAGATCCTCACTCACGGCGTTGGATTCGACCGCAGCTACTGGGACTTTCCCTTTGGCAGCTACAACTACAGCTACGTGAACCGGGCCCTCGATGCCGGCTACTCAACGCTCACCTGGGACCGCCTCGGCATCGGCCATTCCTCCCACGGCGACCCCGTCAACGAGATTCAAATCTTTCTCGAAGTCGCCGCCCTCAAGGCCCTGACGGACATTGCGCGGCATGGACAATTGTGCGGAGTCTCGCACAGGTTCGACAAGACGGTCCACCTGGGACACTCGTTTGGCTCGGCCATGACCTACGCCCTGACGGCCTCGCACCCCAACATCACCGACGGCATCGTCCTCACCGGCTTCAGCCAAGTCCCCCAGTTCATGGCGTACTTCGCCCTCGGCGCAAACTTTGCCCCCGTCGGCGAAAACGACGTCCTCGCCAGGCAATACGCCGCCGGCTACGTGGCTCCCAGGGACAGCATCGGCGTCCACATCAACTTCTTTGGGCCCGGGGACTTTGACCCCGAAGTGCTCAAGGTTGCTACCCAGACGGGCCAACCCGCCGCCGTGGGAGAGCTGCTGACTGTCGGCTCCGTGCCCAAGTCCAGCGAGTTTCCCGGTCCCGTCATGATCATCACCGGTGGTAAGTGCCGACATGTTGTTCCCAACTCTACAGTCTCGGCCCAGTTAACAAAGCTGATCGCGGCAGATCGCGACATCCCGTTCTGCGGCGGCAACTGCATGAACACCATGGCCATCAACGGTTCCGCCCCCAACCTGGTCGAGTACTCCAAGGGCAGCTTCAAAAAGGCCTGTGCCTTCCAGGCCACGGTCGTCCCCAACGCCGGCCACGGTCTGAACTACAACTACAACGCACCAGATGTCTACAGGGCCATTACGGACTTTATCAAAGCCAACGTCTAGACGCAGCACGTGTGGCAGCTATTTTGTGGTTCTCGTACAAAGTTTAGAGGAGTATTTACAAGAGTCTCAGTCACCTACACAATGTAATATCTTGTTCACTGTATAGCACATAGAATGACCAGAAAAGAAGATGAAATGGAATATATTCATGGCCCCCGACACCCCTTGAAAAGCGCATCTCATCCCTTGACAAGCTCCTCTAAGCGAGCTCTCTCAATTGCGCCACACGGGGGAACTTTCAGAAAACTCTGATCAAACAAAGCAACGGCAGGAAATGACACGATATTACGCCTGGATGATCGGCCCAAATTGCTTTTTGAGAGGCGAGACAACTACTGCCAAAAACCACCTTGCTTCCCGAAAGAAGAAACGCCGTCGAGACATGCAGCCGTAACGGCCACTTGGTTGTGCAGTTTGTCATTGCGACCTCAATATTCTCGGGCAGCGCGCTCATAAAGAAGCAAGTAATGTGTGTGTACCATGTACGACCTGAGGTCGGGATTATATTGCAATTGATTTTTATTCCGCGGTTGCACAGCGATGGGTATTTCGGCATCGGCTGGATCGCCAGGCAAGGGCTTGTAATGGGGGTGCTGAGATTGCCGAGCGTGACGTGCATGTCGTGACCGGTGAGGCGGCCTTGGTAATTTTTTTCTTTTTTCGTGCGACGTCCCTTTCCAGGACGTATTTACATTGTAAGGATCAATGGGGAGTTGACGCGTGTTTGTACGGGAGTAGACGAGGGCTTTTTGGTGAGGCTGTTTCATTTTTTGACTCGGCGCTTGGGGCTCGTGTGTGCTTTCGGTCTCGGAAGGAAAGCACGTTGCCCTGCTTTTCGCTACTCGTGCTAGCGGAGCAAGACTCAAAACTCGAGGACCTTTGTATCTCATACGAGGCGCAAAGTCTCTGAATAGCTGCTCTCTCCACGTGGCTTGCTCCTCGTCCAGTGGCCGAGTCTGGCTTCCCCTTCTCCGTCGCCAGCTCTCGTCTGTTCGGCGCAGCGCCACGCCTTGCGAGCCCGAGACGTCGTCGAAGTGGTGCGAGCGATGGTCGCAGTTTGCCCATGGTGAACCGAGCCAAGTGAACCCCAACCTCACGGATCACGAGAACAGGGACACGCAGCGTTGAAGGGAGACGCCCTCCCAATCGTACGTTAGGAAGTGGACGTAGGCGTCGTGTGAAACACGGACGACGTGGCTGTCCTCACCGTCTGAAAGTGTTCGCCTTTGTCCGTTCAACAACCTTGTCTATTTCTGGGGCGAGGAAGCTCCCCTCGCTCTTTTCCGTCCACCAAGGTGACACTGTCGGATGGAGGAGTCGACGCTGTCGCCAAATTCAGCGCGGAGGGCAGCGTAGGGCGCCCGTGGATGTGAGTTCCGGGTCGACCAGGGGCCCAGGGCGTCGTTTCCGGGCAAGACGTCGTGTAGACCTTGTGCGTGGCGGACGACATGGAGAATTGGTGGCATTCTGGAGGCTCAATGCGATTCTCGTAGTTGTAATATTTGTTGACGATGGTGAGGGCTGGTTTTGCCAATGGAGGTACTACGTAGTCGAGGAGCGTGCCTCGCCTGCCTTTTCCCCAGTAGCCATTTGCTTCTGTGATGGAAACATGGCCAAGCTCATACTGGTGAGTAAATAATGTTCACTTGTTGTCTGCGGGGTTGTCTTCGGCTGGTGCATGACTGGCATCCTGTCGTTGTCGGCTCTCGGTAAGGCGAGTCACGGAAAATGCAACCGAGTCGACAATTGCAAATGCTGCTTCGTCAAAGCTTGCTGTCGGTGACTTTGGTTTTCACGATCCCTAGCTTGGTAGAAACAATGATTGAAGGCTCGGGAACAGGGCCACGCTTGCAACGGGAAACATGGCCACGGCGAGAGGTGGGAGGTCGAGGCACATATGCCCCCTCACTGGCACACTCGGCCTCCAAACTTAATTCCCTCATCGTCATCAAAGTACGCAGTCGGGTTCCAGAGCCCGAGAGGGCAACGCACCGCTCCGACAAACACCGTCAAACACCGACACAAGGCTTGCTCTAGACCGGCCAAGATATCGCCAATCAAGCAGCATAGTGGCGGGGGGGCGGGGGGGGAAGGGAAGGGGCCCTCGCCTGCCTTTTCCCCAGTAGCCATTTGCTTCTGTGATGGAAACATGGCCAAGCTCATACTGGTGAGTAAATAATGTTCACTTGTTGTCTGCGGGGTTGTCTTCGGCTGGTGCATGACTGGCATCCTGTCGTTGTCGGCTCTCGGTAAGGCGAGTCACGGAAAATGCAACCGAGTCGACAATTGCAAATGCTGCTTCGTCAAAGCTTGCTGTCGGTGACTTTGGTTTTCACGATCCCTAGCTTGGTAGAAACAATGATTGAAGGCTCGGGAACAGGGCCACGCTTGCAACGGGAAACATGGCCACGGCGAGAGGTGGGAGGTCGAGGCACATATGCCCCCTCACTGGCACACTCGGCCTCCAAACTTAATTCCCTCATCGTCATCAAAGTACGCAGTCGGGTTCCAGAGCCCGAGAGGGCAACGCACCGCTCCGACAAACACCGTCAAACACCGACACAAGGCTTGCTCTAGACCGGCCAAGATATCGCCAATCAAGCAGCATAGTGGCGGTGGTGCAAGGTATATAGGCAGCGTCATGCGCCATCCTCTGCGGCAAATCGCTGTCCAAATACATTGATTCAATTGTGATTCGTATCCATAATTATCGTGAAAGCACCAGCTACTTTCTTAGCAAGGTCAAGATGAGTCAAGAAGGAAAGGCGCCCTATCCCCCTTTTACCGCCGAGACGGCCAGGATCAAGGTCAAGGCAGCACAGGATGCATGGAACACAAAGTAAGTGGCCGTGTCGCACCTTGACACGGATTCATCAGTGCCTGCGGAGAGTACAAAACTAAGGGCTCAAAGGGATCCCGATGCCGTCAAGATGGCTTACACGCCGGACTCGATCTGGCGGAACCGCGACCAATTTCTCGTAGGCCGTCATGCCATCAAAGAATTCCTTTCCAAGAAGTGGGACAAGGAGCAGGGATATCGCCTGCGGAAGGAGTTGTTTGCTTTCACCGACGACAAAATTGCCGTCCAGTTCTGGTACGAGTGGCACGATCAGTCGGGCCAGTGGTGGCGCACCTACGGACTTGAAGACTGGACTTTTGCGGACAATGGCTTAATGAGAAAGCGTCAGATGAGTGGCAATGATGTCAAGATTACTGAGGAAGAGAGATGGTACAAGGATGGCGTCGACGTGAATAGCGTCAAATTATCTGAAAGGCACTGGTAGGAAGCGAAAACATCCAGAACAGGGCCGGGGAAGGTTGGCATACTCGGAACAGTTACTCGTCTGCTTAGCTAGGCTATATCGCCCGTGTTACATCCAGATTGGCTTTGACCGTCTTGGGGAGGTTCAGCATCGGTGATTGACAGAATCTTGGGACATACAAAGCCCGGGCTGCTAGGGCAAACTATAAGCGAGGGTGCGCTTAAGCCAACGAAAGCTCATCGTCTGTCCAAAGACGGGCTGATTTACAACCACAAGACATGTCTTCAACCTTGTGGAAAGGCGCGACTAGACCTTTTCATTCGAGAGTACGCGGCGTTCATGGATGGCTACCCTCATTATGCCAGCCATCAACTGAAAACCAATGCAGCCCGCCGGCGACGGCAAGCAATCCATGTTGCAAGGTCTGATTCTATACAAAATAGATCAACTAGAAGTTTCATTGGAACGTGCATAGCACCTATATTGTTTAATGTATCAGGGTTTGTTCCAAGAATCTTCTTCCCTCTGGGTGACCGGGTCACCACTTCAGACATACAAGACCTCGGCGGTGGGCGTCACAATTGTTACTATTTCACCTCATTGGTGGAGAGATGCATGTCGCATTTTCCTAATGCGTACAATATGTTTCCATTATCATCAATACACTTCATCAGTCGACTGACTAGAGTAAGCAGACGCGCCGCTGAATGATCATCGCCATATGATCCTGCCAGTCGCCAATGAAGCATGCCACAAATCAGCCAAAGACATTCCGTCTCGACTTTGGTATAAATTAATGAGTCCGAGAGAAAATACATACGAAATCAATTGTGCCCAATGCCTTCTCAAGCTGCCGTCGTGCATATCAGTGTCCAGGATAATTCTGACAGTCGCACCATTCCCCATCGTTTGCAGCAAGCCAATTCCTATAAGCCATTTTTTCATGCTGTTGTGCGTCGTAGATGCTCAAATTTGGGGATATAGCGAGAATTCTACCGTTGACGACGAGTTGAAATCATATCTCAACCCGTCAGCACGTATATCGCTGGCAAACTCGGCCACTGAATCCATGGGTACCAGGAGCGTGTCCCCCCCAGGCCACAGAAGTTGAACAGCTTGCGGCGTCGTTTGTTGAGTTTCTTGGAGAGTACAAGGCCTAATGGTGACATCACCCGCAATGCCGTGATATTTGAATCAGTAATTGTACCGAGGCCGTTCCTTCGCCATGTAACCGACTGCTTCACCTCTGATGAAAGTCGGCGCCACGCTGCCGGGAGGACTGGGGGCGGGCTCAGGCGGCGACTGGTCGTGCTGGGAGTCTACTGAAAGATTCTCATCATTCCTCAAGTGCTTCTTTCGTACTTTCTCAAGGGATATGCACAGCATATGCCCTTTGCCAGGCACCGCCAACAGCTGGGGCGCTCCTTGGAACAGCCATGCTTGGAGTCACGGCACTGCAGACAAGACCCGACACGTCGTTTCCCCGCGCTAGCCGCCTCGAATATATATCTGCAATCAGCTTCATCTCTTTGCGCGAGAGGAATTCGCTGTCTAGGTCGTGTCCCGGGCATGGAACGCCTAGACGAACGCGATTCCGACAGTGTGGAAACAACTCGTCGCAGCGAACCAGTCGCCAGTTGTTTTTCTCTTCGGCTCGTAATTTTGGAGGGAAAGCTATAAGAGAAGCGTCCTGCCTTTCTGGAACGGCAAATTGTTAGGCAAAGCGGATAAAAAAGGTGGCCGAGTGAGTGAACACGGAACGTGGGCAAGCTTCCGCTTTGCCTCTTTAATCTGATGTATAATACAGGTATTTCCAGGCCTCTGATTGGTTAATAGAAAACTAGGGATTACGGTATTTCTGTTTGCAGCATCGTGTTTGTAGTATCGCGAAGCCTGCAATTTAGTGTTAATTTGGTGTTGATGCCACCAAGCCGGCCGCAGGCCGCAGGCGGCCCAGAGAAGGTGAAATTAAGAATAAAGCTCTAAAAGGCTCAAACTACCACATTGTATGATACCGAGTCTCGTGTCTAGCAAGAAGCTGTAACGTTCTTCCGAGTCCCAAGTGAGACCAATAACGTGGGGAGGCACGTCCTCATAAATTCCAGCCCCTTTAAAAGACATTCTTGCGAGTTCAGAACCATCACTGCCATGTTAAACGCCGTCTCCTTCTTCTTCTTTTACTTGAGCCTTTTAATCGGTAAGCGTGCACCTAGTTAAGGCATCAGGCCCATTATTAAGCTAAGAAGAGTTAATATAAGGAAGATGGTAGAGCAGTAATATGACTTGGTCCTTCTCACTTAAGCCACGCATGCTCTTAGGAGGAATGAATGGCCAGCCACCTTAAGGTGGTTCCTTGATGAGGTTTTCGTTGAGATACATCCGGGTCAAAAATATATAGTTGTCACGCACGGCCACGACCGTGGTACCTTGGGTGTAAGTGACTTCACTGAGGGGTATCATGACTCGGCACAGAAAATGACAGTGTACAGTTTGTGTTTGTTGAAGCAATAAGCAAGTATAGCAAAAGCGCATGTATCCAGTAGCTCTCCCAGCCGTGGGTTGTACCGTGTTGGTGAGAGAGGGCCTGTGTTGCCTGGTGTAACCGTTGTTGGCCCAACGCCTTTGTTGTGGCCTAACCGTGCGACAAAGGGATATGTAGTCACTCCGTACTCATTCCTGGTATTCGTAGCTTCCCCCAGCGGCGTATAAACTATGAATACCCCAGAAAGACCAACGACAAGAGCAATGATAGTCTTGGCAGCGTTCATAGTGCATTCGGGCTCGGGACATGCCATTAAATTTCGGGATATCACCAGGGCGGCATTCCCACCCAACAGGGGTCTATATGAAGACATCTCAGCTGATCGCTTCTATGGCTATTGCTCTTAAAGGGGGTGATTATTCCAACTCCTCCGACCCGCCAGTAACGCTCTGCTTTTAATTTGGACATGGTGGGAACTACGAGGGACTAAAATGATGCTATTTGCAGCTTACGATGGACTAGATTCGCCTTTGAAGCGATTGATCCGCTCAAACCCCTTACGGATCGTTACTGACCATGCTCCTTGCGTGAAAGGAGTCTGGTACTAATTGAAATAGGATGTTATGGAGCGAGGCAGGGACAAGTGCATCTACGTCGTCTTGCCGTCAAGTACCCTAGACACAAAGCAGATTTTCTTTTCTATGGGCGTCTAATTTTCTCCTGAGATTTGATGCGCTTTTTTATCTCAGCCCCGGCGAATGACAGACTCCGCTCATCTGACTGAGACAAAGGTTTCACTCTATCAACAACCATTGGACGATCCTAGCCGAGATCCAGCAGACAAAACAGGTACAGTAAACCAGGTCTATAACGATATCCTTCGTGAGGCTTTTTTCATCGTTATAAGGCGACTATCGTTAAGGTGCGACTATTATGGGGCTTGTACCTTTAACCAAATTTACTAGGTAAATATATGTAATAATATTATAAGGTATATATACAGAGATTGTGTTTTTTTTTTACCACGTCACGAGCTTCCTGCCAATCGTGCCAAAGCTGCCATTAAAACCGCTGTTTAAGCT